GCATTCTGTTGGGTCACCTTTCTTTGGAATGGGTACAAATATAGATCTCTTCCAGTCAGTTGAACAAGTAGCTGTCTGTCAAATTTCCTGGCATAGATGAGTGGGTGCTTCCAGTGCCTCATCAGCTTACTGAAACATTTCAATTGATATTCCAGAGATTTCTGGAGTTTTGTTTTTGTCTAATGATTTCAGTGTAGCTTGAACTTCTTCCTTCAGCACCATTGGTTCTTGCATATGCTACCTCTTGAAATGGTGGACTGTCAACTAGTTCTGATTTTGGTACAGTGACTCTGTGTATTCTTTCCTTCTTTTTATGCTTCTTGCATCATTCAATATTTTGCCCATAGAATCTTTCAACATTGCAACTCCAGGCTTGAATTTTTTTTCTTCAGTTCTTCCAGTTTCAGATATGCTGAGTGTGTTCTTCCTTTTTGGCTGTTTAACTCTAGGCCTTTGCACATTTCATTATAATATTTGACTTTGTCTTCCCAAGCTGGAGAAAATTTACATTTCAGACCATCAACTCTGTATTCAACAGCTCAAACCACTCATCAATAACATGAGCTCTTCCTCCCTCCCTGCCTGTTTTATCCTACTCTTTTCCCTTGATTTCTCTTCTCCCTCTTACGACCTCCATCCTCCCTTTCACCCAAGTCAACCTTCTAGGCCATTGCTTCATCTTCCCACCTTCACCCTTCCTCCCATGGGAACTTCCAAAATCTGTTGAGTTGATACAACTAAATATATAGTATCTCACTGTTTTGATTCGCAACTCTTAGATGGTTAATTATCATGAACATTTTTATCTTGTGTTTATTAGCTATTTACATGTCATGTTTTGGTAAACTGTTCATGTGCTTTGCCCACTTTTTAATTAGATTATTTCATTTTTTCTTGTTGAAGTATTGTAATTTTCTTTTTCTTTTCCACTTACCCAAATTTTACTAAAGAAAAAAAGCTATGATGGTAAATATCTAGAACACAGTGTATTTTCTGAGATTTGTCCCTAAAAAATGTGACATTTGATTCCCAAACACATGCCAGAAGCATACAACGGTCCCCAACTGTACTAAGTAAGTGAGAAGCTGAAGTGCTTATCTTCCAACTTTGCCCAGTCTGTGGTCTGTCTTTGGATCTGCAATAATTGACTGAACAGTGACTATAGCTTCATTGATTTTTATCTATAGCTCTTTGAGTTCTTCTATATGCAGCAATCCAAGAATCTGAGCAGCTTCATTAAGAACTGCACCTCCTGTGTCAAAACCAAGACTATGCTTGTCTACAGAAACAGGCAAGCCCTCTTTTGTTTGATGAGCTTAACCAACTGCATCCTGTGTCAGGTGCTCCTGAACCAAAATTTGAATTGCCTTTAGCATTACCAGGTAACCATCATGGCGCTGAATCTGAAGGTTAGCCAAAGCCATTAGACCATCCTTGAAATCAGGGTTATTTACATCCAAGTTGACCAGTGGCTCTGTATTTTTAGCTGCACTGTCAGCATTTTTTTGCATTATCAGGAACTGTGTCCTTGTATTTTTCAGCATTATCTCCATATTTGAGTCTAACAGCTAAGCCAAGAAGCCAGTCAATTGCTTCTTGTCGATCTTGAATCTTGAAAGGAAAGTTAACATCTTTGAGATACTTTTCTAAGAACTTGGGCCAATCACTGCTGTGGATGTTTCTTAAATTCCCTCTGTCTTCAATCTTGTACTGTGTGATTTTCTGGTCTTCCAGCCACACAATAAAATTTCTAAATTGTTTCATCTTTGCAGTTGAAGCTGGCAGGGTTGTGGTAGTCGAGGCCGTCAGCATGCGTCAAAACATGGTCCCAGCTTCCCACATCAGTTGCCTGTGCTGCAGCCGCGATATGGGAGGCAAGGTGGTGGTATTGTAGTTTTCTATAGACTTTAGAAATTAGTCCTTTGTTGTGTTAAGAGTTTTTTCCAGTCTGTGGGTTCTCTTTTTACTCTTTTGATGAAGTCTTTTTATGCATATGTTTTATTTTTAGTAATTTCCAGTCATCTATTTTGTCTTCCACTCTGTGTGCTTTACTATATATGATAATATGCCTATGCCTTGCAATATGGCCCTTAAGTTTGTCCCCATTTTCTCAAAGATGATCTTTATAGTTCTTGGACTTATATTTAGGTCTCTGATCCATCTTGAGTTCATTTTTATGCATGGGGTGAGGCATGGTTCCTGTTTGGCTCTTCTGCAGATGGAGATCTAATTTTGCCAGCATCATTTGTTTAAGAGACTATCTTTCCCATTCAATGTTCTTTGGCCCTTTGTAAAAGATCAATTGTCTGCATTTGAATGAACTTATTTCTGGATTTCCTTTTCCATTCCATTGGTCTATGGACCTACCATTGTACCTGTACTACGCTGTTTGACTACTGTCAAAACAGGTTTCAAGGCCTCTCACTCATTAGAGGCCTACGTCTTTTTATTTACTTTGTTTATTCTGGGCCTCTTCCCTCTCCATATAAAGTTAGTAACTACTTTTTCCATTCATATAAAGAATGAGTTTGGGCTCTGGGTCAGTTGTATTTGTAGATTATTTTGGGTGGTATCAACATAAAATGTTGAGCCTTCTTAACCATGAACATAGAATATTCTTTCATATATGTAGGTTTATTTTGGTTTCTTATAAGTATTTTATAGTTTTATCCAGTCTGCTGTTTAATCTCTTAATATTCAGTGTGATAATTGATGTGCATGAGTTTGTCATTTTTGTTGTATTTTTTTTGTTCTTCCTATATTTATACACTTTAGATACTGCTTTGAATGTGTAGTTTTTTGTGTGAAGTTCTCTTTTATGTTGATGTCAGGTGTGTCTGCTGCTGTTGTTGATTATTAGTCCATAATACCCTGCTTAGTTATTTTTTGTACTGCTGCTTGTTAAATTTCCTTTAATTTCTCTTTGTCTTATTTCTCTTATGTTCCCTCATATTTGAGTGACAATTTTACTAGATATAAGATTATTGGTTGGCAGGGTTTTTTTCCTTTCAGGATTTTATATATGTCACTCTATTGTCTTGTCTGTATGGTTTTCTGCTGAAAAACTTGAGCTTATTCTTATTGATCTTACTTTGCATGTGACTGCTCTTCTTTCCTTAGCTGTTCTCAGAATTCTCTCCTTGTCTTTGATATTGGAGAATTTGACTACAATATGGTGCACTGTTTTTACCTGCGGGTCTATCCTGTTTGGTTCTCTTAGCTTCCTAGATAGTTCTTTTCCCCTTCCTTGCTGTTAGGAAAATTTTATTCCAGGATTTGCTATACTGCTTTCCCTGTGGGTTTTTTGGTTTCTTTCTGTTCTGGAATCCCATTGAGACGTTAGTTATTCCTCTTTTGATAGTGTTCCACATAACTCTGAGGTTTTCTTCAGACTCGGTTGCTCATTATGTTGATTGTTCTTCTCATAGATTACAGTCAAAAGATTTGTCTTCAAGCTCACTAATTTGGCTGTCCATTTCTTCAATTCTATTACTATTTTACACTGTTGTGCAATTCTGTTTTCTTTGTATTGGTCTTTTGGGCTTCTGTTTAAAATTTCTAGTTTATCTCGTCTTTCCTTTGTTTTCTTGGACTCCTTCTCACCCAGTAAAACTACTCAATTATCATTCTTCTTCTGAATTATTTTTCTGAAAGTTCCAGAGCCTGTTCATCTTCAGCAATTTCCTTTAGGTCTGGGTGTTGTTCACTTGTTTGTGCCTGTTTTTCTTGTTTGCTTGTTTGTTTGCTTGCTTTAGTGTGGACCAATAACTTCTGCAGCATCTTGATGTAGCTGTTAGGCGTGGCAGGGAGACTCATTGTGTGAGAATAGTTAACTCCTTCAGTGGGATTGGAGAGGGATAATAGAAACCTCAAAACAAGTAAAGGAAGAAAGAGAAAAGGGAAACCATTTTTAAAGATTAAAACAACAACAACAACAAAAGGTAGTCCTAATTTTAAAATATTATTTTTTAAAATTTAAGTAGAATTAAAAATAGCAAAATGTTTGATTTAAAACAAAAATTTTGAAATGTTTGGTTGGGATTTTCGCTCTGCCCAGAAGCACTGTAGCAGTTACGGACAAGAGCAAAGTGTGTCACGGCAAGAAGAGTGGGGCACCAGCATGGGTGAGGGATTGTACCGGAGGTGCTCTTGAGGTAAGGTCCAGTGGAGCAAGCGTGTCCGTTTCTGAGCATGGAGTGACCTGCATGGTCAGATTCAGGTGCTCAGACTGGCCAGGAGTTTGCCGAGGCAGGTGTGTACGCCAGGTAGGAGGTGAGACAGTGGCACAGGCCAGAGGAGGGCTAAGGGAGCCGGATGGGCAGGAGGATGCACTGGGTATCTCTTGGGCAGTTTATTCTTGCCTTCTCTCTTCTGCCCACCCACACAGTGCTTGGCATTTGGCATTCTCAGGATACTTAACTATTGAGGGGTTTTTAAAGATTGCTGGAGACATGTCTTGTTTTGTTCTCTTGATGTTTTTCTCCTGATTGTTGAAAAGGGATTTACTGTCCTTGAGAATCAGTCAGCCATCTTGACTGGAAGTCTAAGCACATACTTCTTGAAACTCAGAACAAGCTCTTTCATCTTCACAGTAACTCCCTGGGGTATATTTCATAATCTCCATAACGCAAAAGAGAAAGTGAGACTCAAAGGTTTCATGATCAATTAGCTTTTTAAACATTATTTTTAAAGTGCTTATGTATACCAAAATGTATAAATTACTTATTCCTTTTCAGGTAACTTTTAGTACTGAAAGTATTAAAAGTGTGAGTTGTAATATAAAAAAGGGCTCTACGAACAGTGCTTTCCCAGTTGATAAAGAAAAGGTAAAAGTTAAAAACAGCCAAGCAAAGGTTTATTCACAAGTCAACATACCAATTGAGATTTAAAACCTTGTAAGTTTTTGAGAATAACTTTTTTAATATTAAAAATCAAGAATGCTAAAAATCACAATTTGGATTTGATAAAATTAAGAAAAATATTGAAATGGGTATACATACCACAATTTTAAGAGGTCCATATTTTTTCTCCTGAGCAGCAAGCGCATTCTTAAATGGAGTAGGAGTTCTCGGTGTGGTACCCAATATAGATCTTCTAATAGTAGGTGTTCTAAACCTATCCAATCATTTAGATATTTGTATTATAGTCAAAATTTGATTTATACTAGTTAAGGAAGTCAAAGCCATGATAAAGGTACAGATTAAATATTCTCTTATATCTCTTATACACCTGCTTTAGTTATACATTTCAAGGCTATATTGTAAAAAATACTTGCCTAAATTAATTTTTATTCCAATCATGTTTTTTTAAAAAGACTAATGTAGAAGAATAACTAAAATCATTATTTTTCTGGAAATTAAAGTCAGAGGCTATGTTTAGCTGCATTTTTGTTGTTCTTGTTGTTGTTAGTATGCTTGCGATAAAATACAGTGGTGTTATTATTTTCTAATTCTAGTCCTACATGGATCGTGATTAAAACATACACATTAAGTTAAAAATTAAGTGTACTAAAAGCTACTCTATCATGGAAATTATGATCCTCATTTTCTCTTAACATACTTACTTAAGAACTACTTACCCTACATTTTCCTTTTGATCTTTGGGGGTCGCTTCCTTGTGAAGAGGAGTTGTAATGAGAACTTTTTGCCCACAAATAGGGGTTGATGTAAATGAAGGGTTTTCCATATTAAGTTGTTCATTTCCAGGACATGTGTTAAAAAACTAAAAAGGGAAGACAATGTTAAAAGACAATTTTTAGGACATCAAAGTCCCTACACAAACATTAAATTGTTAAAATCCTCATCTCTCTTTGGAAAAAAATTAGCCATGATATTGCATTTACATTCTACTGCATGTAAATTAAGCTCCATGATGGCAGGAATTTTTGTCTGTTTTGTTCATTACTGCCTCCCTAGCTCTTAGACTAGTATTTGGCATATAACATGTACCTTAAAAATATATAGTTTTAAAACCTCATGTTATAAAATACAAAAATTTAAAAATAAAACAGTATCAAATAGCTTATCTGTAACCCCCCAGAAAAATCCCTGTCAACACACCAATTCTGACACATAGTGACTCTACTGGTCAAAATAGAGCCACGTTATAGGGCTTACAGAAGCAAGCTGCCTCATCTTTCTTCTTAAGAGTAGCTGGTGGGTTTGAACTGCCAACCATTCAGTTAGCAGCCCAATGCTTAGCTCACTGTACCAAGGCTTCTTAGCTATCTATAGAAACCAAATCAAAAGAGACATATCTTTTTTTTTTCAGTTGTTATTAGTAAATAATGTTAAGTGACCTTTTCTGTGAGAGGAGAAAGATGGGGGTCCCTACTCCTGTAAAGAGTTACAGTCTTGGAAAATCAAAGGGGCAGCTCTATCCTGTCCTACAGGATTGCTATGAGTTGGCGTCAACTCAATGACAATGAGTTTAGTGTTATGGGGTGTTTTTTTTTTTGCTGTGAAAATACTTTGAATTCATTTTCAAAATACTCGTTTTATTTAAGATTCACAATCAATATCCCTGGAAGCAATGGTCAATAAATCAAATGACAGATGGTGTTGGGCACATCTGTTGCAAAAGATCTTTTTAAAATGTTTACAAGGAAAAAATGTCACTTTGAGGACTAAGGTGTGTCTGACCCAAACAATGGTCTTTTCAATGCCAAAACTTAACAATGAATAAAGAAGACTAAAGAAGACTCGATGCCTTTGAATTTTGGTGTTGGTGAAGAATATTGATGATATCATGAACATCCAGGAAAACAAACATATCTGTCTTGGAAGTATATACAGCTCCTTAGAAGTGAGGGTGGCAAGACTTAAGTCTCATGTACATGTTAACATGTCCCTGGAGAAGGACAGCATGCTTGGTAAAGTGGAGGGTCAATGAAAAAACCGGAATCCTTAAAGAGATGGACTAACACAGTAGCTTCAATAACGGGCTCAAACAGTAGTAATCGATGGAACGGGATCAGGTAATGTTTCATTCTGTTGTAGATAGTGTGACTATGAGTCAAACCAGCAACTCTGAATACACAATAAAACAACAATGCTGTATCATTAAGGAATATAGCACGTGTCTATCTAGAGTACAGCACAGAACCTCTGAATAGCCAGAATTGATATTGCAAAGCCTGTTTACTAAATTACTTGTTGAATATAACTTACATATGATTGTGAAATTTATTTTCACAGTCAACAGATTAAAAGCAGTAGTATAAAGAATATGAATTACTTTTTGGCTATTTACACCCGACATGAATTCTTGTAGTTCTATGACAATTTACTTAATTCTAATACTTATAATTTACTCAACCCTAAGACTAACATTCAAATTCTCTTAATACTCTGCAGTAATGTGCCACCATTTACAGGGTAAAGTCCAACCTTGGATATAGAAAATTCTTTATTGTCAGGCCCTCCCTTACCAATCATTTTTCACCTGAGAATTTGCTCCTCAATAACAGTTGAATACTCCCCATGGCTCCACTTTCAGCCAAACAATAGACAAGTCTACAAAGTGAAAATAATACCAGGAGGTGTGCCCTTATTAGAACTACCAACCAAACAAAGGCAAAAGGCAGTCTGCCCAGGGATAAAGCTCAGGAGGCAAGAAGGGGTAGGGAAGAAGGACAAAGAGAAATCGTAAATACAGGGAGGAGGTGGGAAGAGTGCTGTTACATTGTGAGAATTGTAATCAGTGTGACAAATAAAAATGTGTATAAGTTGCTCAATGGAAAGCCAATCTGCTGTGTACGTCACCTGAATCACAATTAAAAATTTTACAGAGAGAGCGAGAGCTGGTTTGTTGAGGAGGTAGGGTACAACAATAATGAATACCTCTAGTCCGTAAAATTCCAATTGCAGAAATTTACAAGTGTGTCCAAGACGGCTTTTCCATTTGCAGAAGAGTATGAGGGCACATGTTATGTAAATGGTACCCTCTGAAGTGTGGGAAACACAATTTTCAGAGATCAGAATGGTTATATACTGCCAGATCCTTCTCATTCTCCCAAGCTCAAAACATAGCCCACCCACCCCACCCCCTGCCCCAGCAATATCCCAGCATTCTTCAAAGCTTTTTCCCCATAAAATATTTTAACCTCCACTAAGATGCTTTTTAATAAACACCAGCTCCATTTCCCTGGACAAGTTGCTGGAAAAGTTAAGTGTTCAATAAGAAAAATACTATTATAAAATAGGAGGAACTGTTTGGCCTAGTATAGATATCTGCTACCCAGGGACATCACTACAGGGGAACCGTGATAGCCTTCGAAATCTCTTCACTGAGCCTCTGTTTAAGTTTCTTGCTGTGAACAATAAAAGGGGAATTAAAGATAGACTAAAATCTAAGTTCCTCTACATAGCTGAGGTCTACATAGCCTAAGTGTTGGCACTTTTGTGGGAAAACAAAATCACTGGAAACTCAGAGTTACATGTATACCCAATAATGTAAATTATGTGAAATGTTTGAAATTTGTGAACTTGTAATTACTGTTTTAATGATTCCGTTTTCTTGAGAATAGTAATTGTATAAAATTGCTATTGCAGCTTTATTTTCAATAATGATATGCCTCTAGACCTTGGATTTCCCCGATGTAAAAAGTCATTGTAGATAAATGAATGTTAGATTATAGATAGGTCATTAGGTTCTTGTTATACATGTTGTTAGTCTGGTTTTCATTGTTTATCGGATTTAATATTATTCTTGAAAATAGTTGATGCTTTGTACTGCTTGTCTAATAAGAGTTCTGTTATGAGCTGTAAAAAAAGGTCTTTTAACTTTATTAGTTATATTGGTTGAATATTAAATCAGGAAGCTGGATCTCAGACTTAGTTCAGCCATTAGATAACTCTGGGAAAATCATCTACCTTTCTATGGTTACATATTGATTATTTCTATAAAAGTGTGGAATTACTTATCTCAAAAGTCTCCGTTAGCTAATGAGAATAGTTGTACAACTGAAGGAATGTAAGCAATGTCACTGAACTGTACATGTTAAAACTGTTGAGATGATGTATGTTTTGTTATATTTTCATACATAGTAAAAGCATTTTTGAAAATTTTAAATCCTCTATAGTTCTAAAAAAAATTGAGGATACTCTATAAAAGGTGATTCTACAGAATGTGGAAATTATTGAAGAATATTATTAATATAATACAAGCAAAGTTTTACTGAAGATAATTCAAAGACAGTTACAGCAGAAATGCCAGAAATTCGAGCTTGATTCAAAAGAGGCTATGGAACAAGGAATATCATTACTAATGTCAATGAGTCTTGGTTGAGCAGAAAGATATTATCTGTTTTTTATTGCCTCTAAAAAGGCACTGGACTGTGTTGGTCACAGCAAGTTATGAACAACATGGTGAACAATAAGAATTCCAGGACACCTGATTTTGCTCATGTGGAATCTGCACATAAACCAAGAGCAGTCATCTGCACAGAACAAGAGGGCACTGTGAGGTTTAACATCAAGAAAGGCAAGCGGCAGGGTTATTATACCCTTTCTGCACACTTATTCAATCTGTACGCTGAACAAATTATCTAGAAGCTGGACTACATGAATGAGAACATGATACCAGGACTGAAGGAAGGCTCATTAACAAAACCTCCCATATGGAGATGGCACAACCTGGCTTGCTGACAGGTAAGAAACTTGAAATACTGATAAAGATCAAAGACTACTGCCTTTGGCATGAATTATCCCCCAACAAAAGAAAGAGAAATCCTCACAGGCAAACCAATAAGCAATACCATGATAAAGGGAGAAAAGATTGATGTTGTCAAGGATTATATTTTACTTAAATCCACAATCAACACAGCAACAGTCAAGAAATCCAACAACAAATTGCAAATGACAAAGTGTTAAAAAGCAAAGATGTCAACCAACTCATCAAAACCTAGCAACTACATAATGAAGTAACTGTATTTTGTGAGATACTTTTTGATTTACAAGAGTTTAGGGACTCACCTGTATACGTTTAAACACATTAACACTTTTATGTGTAATCAAAGCAATCACTGCTAGTAAGAATATTAAAGATATCATTTAATCTAGCTCATCAACATCCTAGAACATAAGAAAATACAACACTTCTTACCTGTGAAGGGGAAAATGGTAGTGTTTTCACTGGTGTATGTTTTAGTGCTATATGACCACCATCATTGAAAGCGCTGTCACCAAGTCCGCTTCCTGGGGAATGACCCACGCGCATTTTCTTCTTCTTTCTGAGGATGGTTGGTGGTGTGCGAAACTTGGCTGCATTTGGAGATGTTAGAGGTACAGCCTCACTGTCTCCACCATTACAACTATTTTTCTTCCCTTCAAGCACAAGGCTGACGTTAAACTGGCATTCCATAGGTCCTTCATTATGCTGAATCCGCATTAGCTTAACTGGGGTAGACTTGACAGGAGACGCAGCAGCATCAGAAAGATCAAAACTGGTTACATCACTCCATGCTACAGGGTCCTGCAATGAATTAAAATTTTAACTGGTTAATGCTATACCCTGGTTACATCTTGAGCACAGACTGATAATTTCCATGGGGAATTATGCATTTTTATCAGTAAAAATGGGCTTTGCCTAGGAATCATTTCTTTATTATTATTTTTTTAAGTAAGACCATTTAAAAAGAATAGATTATCCCAATGATGGCCAGCACTGGGTCTGATCACCCGAGGACACAATGCTCCAGAACCTTTAACACCTGGGGGTCTAAGAGGGACCCTAGTGCATTGCTGGTGGTAATGATAAATGGTGCAGTCACTGTAGAAAACAGGCAGACAATTCTTCAAAAGGATAAAGAGAATTACCATATGACCAAGCAATTCCACTCCTACGTAGATATACAGAAGACCTTAAAAGCAAAGACTGAGACAGATACTTATATACCAATATTCATTGCAGCATTATTCATAATACACAAAAGATAGAAACAACCCAAGTGTCCATCAGTAAATAATGTATAAATAAAATGTGGAATGTACATACAATGGACTATTATTCAATTATAAAGAGAAAAGTTTTGATACATGCTATAAAATTATGCTGAGTGAGCTAAAAAAAAATACAAATATTATATAATCCCTCATATATGAAATATTAGAGTAAGCAAATTCATAGAGACAAAAAGCAGTTGCTAAGGGCTGGACAAGGGAGAAATTGGAAGTAATGGCTTAAGGATATGTTAAGTTTTTGTTAGGGAGTGATAAAAATCTTTGGGGAATAGAGTGTTGATGGGGGTACAACATAATGAATGTCACTGAATTGCACATCTAAAATGGTAAAGATGGCAAGTATTTGGTATATATTCACATATAATTTTCACTTTTTAAAATATTTTACTGTTTTAGGTGAACGTTTACATAGCAAATAAGTTTCCTATTCAATGGTTCATACACAAATTATTTCTTGTGTTTGGATTCTTATATTTTACTATTATAAAATATTCTTATATTTTACTACTCTCAAGATGAAAATATATTAAAATTGAAAACTTCAATACAAGCACCCACTAGAAAATGTCAGAACCAAAATTAAGTATGGCATACAAAATAATGATTAACATGTAAATGGTCAGTGTCCATTAAATCGAAGTTTGTGAGCGTGAAATCATGTAACTAATATTGAGCTTTGGATAATCTCACACTTTCAAACTTACAGATTCAATAAGTTCTAGAGTCTCTGCAAATTCAGGAATGGTCTGTAGAGATGACAGCACAGCATTTGCCTCTATAGCCAGGAACTTTGTGGGTGAATTCTGCTGAGCAGACACAGTTTGATTTTCATCCATGCTGTAAAATTCACTTGTGTGTTCCTCAAGGGTGTTGAGAGGATTAGAAACGCTGTCATCCATAAGGAAACTACCAGACCAGCTAGAAAAGCTTCCAGTCTGCTGAAAGTACCAAAGAAAGGTGTTGTCATCTTCAACATAACCATAAATTTGTATTGCAAAACAAAGTCTTTCTAGGATAAATTTCATCTTCACTTCAGGTAAAAATACAGTGGCATACACTGTCTTATAAAAATTAGCATAAAGTTTTTTCATTAAACCTCACAACTTGAACTATATTTCCTTTTCTGAACTGAATTTTTAAAAAATTATCTTTAAAATCAAGATATAAAACAAGCATTTACAAACAACATAGAGATCCAACTCCTAGAATATGGCCTCTCTCTATCTTTCAAACTTCATTCCCAACACTACAACTTACAAACCCCATCTCAGGGCATATCTATTACCAAAAAAAAAAAAATCAAGTTTATTCTGATTCTCAGTTTTTAGATGGGACATAGAAGAACTTCACCACAGGATTTCCAAGGCTATAATCTTTCTGGAAGCAGACTTCCATCACATCTTTCTTTTGTAAAGCAGCTAGGAGGCTCCTTTCTTCAATCTATGGGTTAGCATCAGAGCACTTAACCAGCACTGGCAACTGCTCCATGAGTTTTCTAAGTGTCTTCACCCGAACTACTGCTGCTCCCTCCGTCTAGAATACACATTCTACTGGCCAGGGACATTCCTATCTTCTCCTGTAATATACAGTTCAATGTCATAACTAATTTAGATGCACATAGAATCTATCACATCAGTGCAGCAATTTCTCTCTAGAGGCCATAAAATCCTTAATCAACAAGATCTTAATGAATAGAGTGGATTTTATATAGAAAGTTTTTAATGCATATTTAAGTTATTGAGTGCTGGCTGCTATAACAGAAATACCACAAAATCGGTGGCAAACACATTTATTTTCTCACAGTTTAGGAGGCGAGAAGTTCCAATGCAGTACCCTGGCTCTAGGGGTAAACTTTCCACACTGTCAGCTGAGCTTCTGTTCCTGAACAATCTTTATGTGGGTTAGCATCTCCCTTCCCCCATCTCAGTTTACTACCTTATGTTAATCTCTTTTAGATCTCAAGAGATTGATTCAAAATATACCCTAAACTACTCATGAGTTATTAACAAAACAAGCACAACGTTTTTCTTTTTTTAATGCATATCTAAGTTATTGAGTGCTGGCTGCTATAACAGAAATACCACAAATAGGTGGAAAACACATTTATCTTCTCACAGTTTAGGAGGTGAGAAGTCCCAATGCAGTACCCTGGCTCTAGGGGTAAACTTTCCACACTGTCAGCTGAGCTTCTGTTCCTGAACAATCTTTATGTGGTTTAGCATCTCCCTTCCCCCATTAAAGTCAATGGTGATTTTTAAAAACCATGAAAACATACAAATGGAAGATTCTAGCAATAATTTATAGACACTTAAACTAATTTCTTACCGATGGAAGTCGCTTTTTTCTAACTTCATTCTCAGCTGACATAAGAAGTAACTCAAGTTCCTTTATTTTCTTTTCCTTATCAGGATCTTCATCAACAAATGGTTGCTAAAATAAGGTAAATAAGAAAGAAAACTAGACTGCTTAAATCACTGATTTATGATTAATAAAACTCTAATTTTTGTTTATAAGCAACTTGAAACAATTTTCTCCAATAAGTTTTAAAATCACTGCCATCAAGTTGATTCCAACTCACAATAAACCTGTAAGGCAGAATAATGCTCCCTAGGATTTCTGAGGCTGTAAAGTGTTACAGATACAGACTGCCTTCATCTTTCTCCCTTGGAGCAGCTCCAAAATAGTTTAGTTCAACTAGACTAAACTCCAAATACTCATATCACAATCTCTTTGTTATCTAAAGAGGTCTTAACAAATGTTTTCAATTAAGCAAAAAAGATTTAAGAAAATTTAAATACATTAAAACCAACACCTTATAAATCTATCTATTTTAAAGTTGCATTTGAAATAAGTTTGTTTATTGAATCCTAATGCATAAGTTCTAGCCAACGGAGCAAAAGCATATCAATTCACAACTTTAGTGCTTTAAGTTGAAAGAATGAAAGGCCTGGTGTTTTCAACCACTTGACAATTATGCAGTTCATGTTTTTTCAAATCTACTGACATATTTTCTCCTTATACTCAAATTATGTTATAAAATTCAAAGAAATCAGAAGAGAGATTTTTGGGGTTTTTCCCCTACTTCTTTAGGTCAGGAAACTACTAGACTTCCTAAAATATGTTTAAAAGCATTTCTTTCATTTTCATTTTGTTATATATAAAATGTTACCTGAAGAAAGGTAGAAGAAGTCTGAACATGTTCTACACAACTGCCTTCAGGTGACATATATTGATAACCTGGGATCTAAGAAGCAAATCATTAACATCTTAGGCAAAGCATAAAAGTCATTGGCAAAATATCAACATTAAAAAATTCAAAAAGCACTTCTATTAACTTTGAAAATTCCTAACTGTATTAGTTTATCTGCTAACTACATCTCTACTCATATTCTATTCATTAAAAATATTAAAATCTGTAACGGGGTGTCCAATTGCCTGAAGATGGGCTTTGGTGAAGGGTAGCAACAATGAAACACACAACTTTCCTCACTTCTTAAATGCTTGCTCTCTCTCCGCCCCCCCCACCCCCC